CCCCAGCCTGGTGCTCCAGTGAGTGCTGGAGGAGCAGAGCGGACAGTCGTGATTGACAGAGATGGGTATGGATGTTTGTTTTTTATGGCCCCATATTTTTCCATTAGGCATAACCATCATGTAACATAAAAAAAAAGAGATAAAACACATTACATTATTTACACAAAGCTTACCTCTTTTACAGTGAATCTAGAAAAATTGAAACGGCAATTCCATTCCATTTAATGCACTGACTAAAGACCAAAACTAAAAAGAAAACTGCCTTTTCTGCCCACAACAACCAAAGTAATTACAGCTATACGTTTTCCAGTCCAGGTTAAAAGGTGAAAGAAATGGATTGTCTGTCATTAGTGAAGTCAGATGTAGCCGTTTGCTCCACTTTTCATGGATGAGACCCTACATAAAGCTTTATATATAAATGTCGCACTCATGATAGGAAATAAGTATAATTTGCTATAATATAATCAAAACAGCACAACTCATGTAAACTTTCATTAACTACTTTATTTTTTTGTTTATTTTATTTTGTCCAGAATGCAAACTTTGCATTAACTTTGCTATTTTACAATTTTACAAACTAGGTATAAAAAGACCATAAATAAAGAAGATAAGTTATGTGTACCTAAGTTTTAGGGAAGAGGAACCAGTTACTCTTCCCTGCGCCCCCCAAAAATGCAAAAATTACAAATGAAACAAAAATAGAAAAACATAACTCTAAACAACATATGAACCAAGAAGAAAAAAATGTTCTGTTAGAATGCTTTTTTTTTGTTGTTTTGTTTTTTTAGAACAAGCTAAATTAAAATTCCTCATTTGCTGTGACACAAAAAATAGAACCTCCCTTTTCTTTGTCTGGTTAACATTTGGTGGGGTTAAGCTCAGGTTAGGAAGTGAAAAATACTGCTAATGATAAACTGGATTGATCTAGAAGGTTTCTGCACGGAACTGGACCTAAACTACTCTCAGGCCCAGTTATAGGCATTTAGGTTAGCGGTTCCCTTCCAAAGTCGGGTATTGCTAGGTATACAATTCTTGCAATATATAAAAGAAAGAAAAAAATGTTTTGGCAGTAACACACAAATACTGATTAATGCATATCATCTCTCGCCTGCAGCGTACGTGCAAAGTCATGAAGTACAACAGAGTCTTTTGGGAGGTATGAGGGACGAAAGAAGAGATCACAACATTGTTAAATCTGGGCTAATTACTAAAAAAATTATTGCTGGTGCCTTATTTATGGCAGCATTTCCAATTATGTCAATTGGTATTAATATTGCATGGCTTTTGAAGTGTAACTCCAGCCAAAACTTTTATTTTTGTTTTGTTTTTCTTGGGTTGCAAAGGTTTAACTACTGTTTCGAGGTTTTTAATGCTATCTGAGTAAGTTTCCCCATTGGGGATGCAGGGAGGGAAATCCTTTCCAGAAGAAGGTGGATAGCAATAAACACTTGACATAGGTTCTAACTTTTCTTACGATTTCTAAAATGCCAGTTTAAGAAGACTATAGCATTAAAATTGAAGTCAGTCATTTATTAACTTAATGATGTCCACATTATTTCCTTGGCTCGAAAAACAGCCAGATATTCTTACAGACTAGTTACTGTTCACATCAACCCTGACACCACCGAATTACCAAGGCGCAGGCATTTGGTAGTGTGGAGATTATATGTGAATAACAAGTGATGGAAGCACTCATTATGTCTCAACATGTTGGAAAGTCTCAGCCTTAAAGCAAGATTCTTTTATAAAGGGAAGAAATCCTTGAACTGCATGCATAAATGTTGCAAAGTCTAGTGCAGCAAGCAATCAAGATAGCAACAAGCAGATGTCACATCCCAGGGAAATGCTGATGAGAGATCTGCTTGGCTGTTACCAGCCTTTCCTTAGCACATATGTCTCTGTGCAACAACCATCTTCTAAGGCTACATGCTTCTTTTCTGTGAAGGATTGGTTTATAAGCTGAAATATCCAATCTCGCTGACAGCCATCCTTCACAATGTGATATCTGAGGTTAATTACTAATGTCGGATGGTGCCCATAGACATTACGATCATTATTCAATCCTCCTGAGATCGCTGATGGCCATCTAATTTCTAAGAATACCTCTAAAACCCTACTGGGATTCAAGATCTGATTGCCAGACCTGAATTCAGCAGTTTTTTTTCCCTGTATTGAGATTTACCATAGGCCCCTCATGCCACAAGATAGTCCACAATGCTTTCAAATGGCCTAGTTGTTCTTTAGAAAACACCATGGCTTTGACATATGCTGTGATTCTTGGTTATGTCTGTATTACAGAATGGAAGCCTGATGAGATTTCCTGATGTGTTCTCTACCTTTGTCCTGACTGCTTTCAAAATCCCTAAAGGCTGCAGGTCATTTTTTTTTATTTCTGCCTTTTTCTAAAAACATTCTTAGGCTCATTGGTTTAAGAGTTTTAGCGATCACACGTGGAGGAACAGAATCTCTGGAGGGAAGGATTGTGAAAAAAACTTTCATTTCCAAGATTTAAGATTATTTGCTAATCTTAAAATCTTATAGTGGTCAAACTGAACAGCTTTGAGGTGAGGACAATCAGACAAAGACAAAGGGTTAAGCACAAAGATGTAAGTTTATATATATGAAACAGAACCTTCCTTATATATATATATATAAACTTAATTGGCAGCTCTGCCTGGTTGTCACTGGTACCAGTAAAATGCAGAAAATGGAAAAAATTGCATAATTTTTTTTTTTTTGTTGAATGGAAATTCATATTACAATACAGAGGCCTGTACAGATGAGGGACAGGCCTCAAATCGGAGTGCGTCAAGTCTTTGTTGTTTTCGGGAAAACCATAAAGCAAAAAAGTTCCTCGGCCCATGGCAAGCTGGGTCCATGCTTAAGGTTAGTTTGGCATACAATTAACTCCTTAGTGACTGCAATGTACTGCTCACACCTTGTCCTCTTTAATGTGCAGTGGAACAGAACAGAAACTGATCTTGGGTGAAGTGCCTTTATTCCCTTTTAGAAGAACAAGCTTTGGGATGGCCATGTGACCTCAGTGATCCGATTTACTGAAGGCAAATATATCCAGGCCTTGAAGACATGGCATCGTTAGTAAACATCAGCTAGCTTCCATTGTCATTATACACCAGGGCATGGAATACACAGGAAGACCTGTGGGACCTTGTGGGATTTTCTTGCTGGAGAAACAACAGCTGTGTCCATGACATCCTCAGAACCTCTTCTGAAGTTTAAAGAGAATCTTTTCAGCTTCAGTTCAGTTGTGTCTGTGGATGATAGGCTTGCCGTGGAGAATTGACAAGAGTGCAGTTCCCTACAAAAAAAAACCAGACTAAGTTTTAGATTCAAATAACACAACACCATTTGTGCCTTCCATTCATTTAAGACTGAACAAGTTATTTATTAAGTGGGTCACAGTGGCAGACTATACTTTAATGCTCCATCCATATTTCTTATTGCCTGTTCTGATAAAATAAAAGTTCTTCCCAAAAATTCAAATATCTAGAATGTTTCACAATGACACATATTCAATTCTTCAATTAACAAGCTTTGCTTTCTTTCCCTTTCCATTGACCATTTTTCTCTCACAACTGAAAGCATTTTTCAAAGCAATTTTCCATTTTCCAACATACCGCATGCTTTTCAGCAAAAAGTTTACTACCTCTCCTGCTTTTCATTGACCTACTGCTTACTACACAATTATCACAAATAAGGTTTGCAAGATTTTTTTTTTTACATAGAATCACGTAGCATAGATATTCATACATTCTTAAAAACAGAACTAATAGTGCCCAGTGGTGTTGATCCAGACCTCGGGCCCCAGTGCAAACTAGATCTACCACCTCGTTGCTTGCTACTTCACCCCTTACTATAAAGCCACTTCCCTTACTGCCTCTACAATAACACTTTTATTGAGTACAGAGAATGCAGAGTGGAGGGGTTCCTCTTCAGATGTGACCCAAACTAAATTAATAGATGCCCCTCAAAGTTCCACAGGTTCCCTTATGTAGCAACTGCTTGGACTGCAGACAAGGACAAAGCTGGTCCCAGCTCTAGACATCTAATGGAGGAGGGAGAAGTCCTTGAAGCAGCTCATCTCTGCAAAACAGTTTAAGAAGTTGTATAACAGCCTCAGCCTGGGCTCCAACCAGGACATGCCCTCAGCACATTTCGCTCTTCCCATGGAGCACAGATGATTGTAAATAATCCTACGATGCAAAGCTATATGAGGAAACTGCTCCTGGGGGCTGGCATAGTGCAAAGAAACACTGTGCTCTGTATTGGATCTTCAGACAGCACATTGTGTACATTACTAATTATAATTATTATTGGGGGGGGGGGCAGTAGGGAGGCAGAGCCCACCGGAAGCAGGGACCTTCTCACAGCTTCAACCCCCGTGATTCTAATACCAATGACATATAGCCCAACAATAATCTACCAATGGGGATAACTCACCTTTATATTCCTTTTCAGACCATGGTCTTTAGGTAGTATAAACACATATCCCTCAGATGCTGATGTACTCCTCTCACCCTAGCACATGTCCACAAGATCCTAAAATTCTCTGATGCACAGGAAGCAGCCTCCATTGGTCCCTTATTCTTCCCCTACAACGGTCTGCATCTCCAGCAATAGATCATGTGGTTATTCCATTTGCCCACACTGATGAAGTGATGTATCCATTCCATAATGATGTCCATGTTACACGCAAAATCAACCCTCGATGAGGTGGTGGAAGTCTGGTAAATCGTATGCATCTAGTGACATGAGAGCTCCCCCTTGGATATGACCATCTTCCAGATGTGAGTGTGGCACAAATGACTATTTCCATGTTGAATGGGTTTCTCCTCAGCCCCTTTAATTTAAGTCTCTGTCCAGCGGGGTGAGGTTAATGTAAAAAAAAAGTGCAGTTCTTCAATTAAAGTGCATGGATGAGGTAAACTAATTTTTTCAAGAGTTCTGAGTGTGTAGCTTTGTCCTGATGCACTAATAAATCAGACAGGAACCATCCTGCCTTGCATCTGTTGCATCTGGGTCCTCATTCCCTGGACGCTGCTCAAAATCTTGTTCTGGTGTGCGGGGGAAGTGATACCAATCCGGGTTAGATCACTGTACAGAGATGAGAAGAAAAGATCATTTAATATCCCAGGCATCAGTATATATACAGTCATTCAGAAGCTCTTCCCTCTTTCATGCCCCCAAAACAGCAAATTTGATGACATGTTATATTTGTTAGGCCCCAATTGATGCTAAGGTCCTACGCTGGTTATATGACAAGAATACACACTAGGAGAAAATGGCAGCATGAGAATCTTGTATCATAGCGCCATGGCAATGTAGAAATCTTGTGTAATATCAAGAAGCTATCACTTATGATGGGATTTCTGATTTGTTGTGTGGAAGAAATGTTCCTACAGAAACCAAAACAGCAGGAATCACTTTTCCTTCAACTACAAGAATGTAAAATCTTGATCAGGAATGAACTTACTCTTGGTTCACGTGCACGACGGATTCCAGGTTGTTAAACCCAGCTGCTGTGAAGTTATCTTTGTATCGCTCCATTTTAATTGCCTGCAACCAGTCCAACACAGAAACCACCTGGGACCATTCAGGCGAGCCAGGGTCCAGCAGAGCAGTGTTCGTCCTAAAGTACAGAAAATCATTGGAATGTCAGCCTATTTCACTAACATTGAATCAAATGCAACATTATGAATGGATGTTACAAACTGCTGCTAGAGGACTTAGACAGGAAACATTATGCCCAACGTTCCAAAAATGTATGAAAGTAAAATATCTGTGTTGCCTATGACAACTAACGTAATTCCAGCTGTCATTTTTTAATGAAGGTTAGCAAATTCTCCTAAGAGTCTAATTGGTTACTATGAATAACAAACACAAATTTCAGACAGTTCACTATATAAAATCCACTATTTCTATTAACTTCTCAGTATACATGGAAGGGTTTAGGATGTTGTGCCATACTGAATAATTTTGTTTTCCTGCAGTCACAAACTCACACTGAACTTTAATAATTTGTCTAGAGGTTTTTTGTTGTCTAATAGATATTATCTTTACATGTGTGTGTGGAGCCTCCTGTAAATTCCCACTGTACTGTCTCTATCTCTAAGTTATGCCTTAATCAGTATTGCTTTACTTATACTGCTTATTCTGAGCTCAATTGCAATGAAACAGTCCAGTCAACTAGATACTGGCCAATTTCCCTGAGAGCAGAAAAACCCCAGCATGCAGGGGAGATAATCCACTCTTTAATCAACATGTTCCTGAACAGTACATATGATGGAAATGGTGAGAATAACAGGGTCTTTGAAGTAGAGTTTGGGGAATCTAATTCTCCTTGGTTCCCTCTGTGCTGGACACTTGGGGTAATTGCTTTAGCAGATTCAATGCCATGATTAGTAACATATCCTGTAGCTGTTGTGCAAAAAAGCCAGAAAACTGCTGTGTATTTTTCACTCCTAGGATTCTGAAAAAACTAGGAGTCATACCTCCAAAGTTTCACTTTGTACCTGCTTTATGCAGAAATGCATCAACGGGAATCAAGCAAGTTTTTTTTTTTAACATCATTCACTGAAATTGGTGGATTGGATTTCACTTTAAATGTAATAAACCAAGAAATCTGCAGCCCAAGTTAGCTTACGTAAGAGATAACCAAGGAGGATTACATAAATCAATGGGTTGGATTTACGGGGTGTATTTAATGGGGTGCTGGGAACTAGAATAAAGTCACATAAAGCAAGAGAGGAGCAGAAAGACTAAGATAAATCTTTAACTATGTAATAAGGTGGAAGTGACTTTAGGTGCAGTGATTAGGGAATTAGAAACAACAAGCACTAGGGAGCCATGTCCTTAAAATTAGAAGTAACATATTTAAAAAGCAAACTGGACTCTAATTAGGTAGACCTTCATTTCAGCTGTTTATCTGTACAAACCTGCAGACAGGTTAAAGTGTTAACAGCAGCATGGAGCTGTGCCGTTATAGCCAATACATCTAACAATTTCTCAGTGTGAGCCTCCCTGTGAATACCCATGGGAATCTGCTAGCTTTCTAAAGTATCCAATCAATATCTATAAAGAGAGATACTTAAAGGTCTGTGCAGTGTGGTTACAAATGTAAACTGATCACAGACAGATTCTGGGTCAATAGAAGGAGGGGGAAATTAAACAGTTGCTGTTATAGTTCTTTCCTAGTTGAATAATTTAACACACTGATGCAGATATGACTGTGTGGTGGGACCTCCCCACTGGGACTTCTAACCTATATATTTAATACAACAGAGCCATCGAAGGCCAGTACGATTTAATTAGCTGGCCCCATTTCTGCTTTCAGCTCATCGTTTGTGTGCTGCACTGAAAGATACCATTTAATTCATCATGTATTTCTTACCTTGAGCCTTCCAATCCAGTCCTTTTTAGGCTGTTTGGGTTCCGGATAAGCTTATCTAACATACTAACAATCTGTCCAAACTTGGGCCGGTCACTGCGCTCCTTCTGCCAGCAGTCTAGCATGAGTTGATGAAGAGCAATTGGACAGTCCATGGGAGGGGGAAGACGATAGCCTTCTTCTATGGCTTTAATCACCTATAAAAGAAATGGAAGATTACAGTCGGCCCAATACACAAAATAGCAGGTGGAGACATTTCATAATTTACAAATAAGTATAATTTGAACAGCTCTTTTAGTAATCAGTTTGTAAGTGCAAAACAACTTTGCAGGTCAAATGTCACAGCTCATTATGATTACAAGTTTTCTCACAGATGTATATTCGTGTGTATTTATTTTTGTAGAAAATATATAGCAATATATATGTTTGGAGGAATAAAGGCATATACAATAGCTAATTTTAGCCAATCAGATGACAGCTTTCAATAATATCGACTGTAAGATGATGAAACGGCACTTTTAATTGGATGCAATGGGGTTGATTTACTAAAACTGGAAAATGCAAAATCTGGTGCAGCTCTGAAGAGAAACCAATCACCTTCCAGTTTTTTTTTTGTCAAAGTTCAATTGAGCAAGCTGAAGTTAGAAGCTGATTAGCAACCATGCACAGCTGCACCAGATTTTGCACTCTCCAGTTTTAGTAAATCAACCCAATGAGTATTTTATTTACACACTGGATACAATTCAACTTGATGGTAATAAAAATTGTCATTTACTTTGTTTCCTCTGTCTACTTTAAAATATCCATAAACTGAAAAATAACTGAAGGATAGCACAGCCAAATTAGATTCTCTCATCAATAGCTAACAGTGTAGTTATCAGTTTAAAAAGCTGAAACTGTCTGAAATATCACTTTCTATATTATGTTTCAGGATCTGTGAGGCAGCTGACCCCTCCATTATATATCCCTAGCCATCTCTCCTTGTAGCTGGCAAGAGAGCATCGTATTTCCAGTTGCACCTGGACGAGGTCTAACTTGTGTGATGACTTCCTTTCCATATGAGAGAAAGAGGTATAAATATCTTTGGATGTGCCTGCAGAACAGAGGAAACCTTTGCACAATACACAATCCCTGCCTTGGTATGGGATTGCACTGTGGACGATATACTCAAGGAAACCGAGAAAGAAGGAATTCTGCATCTTCCTCTTGTCATTGTACGAATATACAATGTGGACTATTTCCCTGTTGCTATTCTTAGGTTTCACTGGGTCATCTAGAGACAGCTGTCTGACTGATCCCATCTGAGACTCTACAGATGGTATACTTAAAAAAAAAAAAAAAAACCCACATATACATAATTTAAAGAAGGCCATTTAGCAAATTATTTTTTTAATGCCCCCTAAGGACAGTCATTTAATTGCCCAAGAGATAATTACAGCAGCTCACTACGTGTTTTACAATGCAGGTTCTTCTCCCTGCGGTGAGTGTGTTAATGACGCATCGAGCAATATAGTTACACGACTGATAGCGCCAGTAGCTCAGGATTTGTAAGAAATGATGTCATACTGTTAAATAATCAGAATCCCTGCTTTGGCATAACCTGCGGAATTCCAATTAACACAGAAAATTCCAATTAGTGCTGCCCATTCATAGAACAAGCAAAGTTTTATATAACTTATGGCTGCTAATGGATGAATGAATGAGGAAACATTTTTTTTTTACATCAATGAAAAACGGATGCTTACATCTTGATTGGACATATCCCAATAAGGCCGTTCACCATATGACATGACTTCCCACATGACAATTCCATAACTCCATACATCACTAGAAGATGTAAACTTCCTGTAAGCAATGGCTTCTGGTGCGGTCCATCGGATGGGGATCTTACCTCCCTGTACAATAAAACAAAATCTGCATTTAATACATAGTTGTTGTGCTATGCAGAATACATCGCCATCTTTAATAACAGACCCCTTTCTCAAACAAATTGTTATAAAATAATCACTTGTGGCAAAAGAGAAAACTGCAGCAAATTCATTTATTTAATTCATGTCCTCTTGATTATAAGCGGAGTACTGTTTCAGTCATCAATGAGTGCATCTATTGTATAATAAAGCTTTCTTAATAGGACAGTGCAGGAAGCAGCAAAGTTTATATATCCCGCCTCGATTACTGCAACTCCCTCCTCACTGGTCTACCGTTACACAGGCTATCCCTCCTTCAGTCTATTCTGAATGCTGCTGCTAGACTCATACACCTTACCAACCGATCAGCGACTGCTGCCCCTCTCTGCCAATCCCTCCACTGGCTTCCACTAACCCAACGTATAAAATTCAAAATACTAACCACAGCTTACAAAGCCATCCACAACACTGCCCCTAGCTACATCATCAACCTCATTCACAGATACCGCCCAAATCGCCCACTCCGCTCCTCCTATGATATCTTCCTTTCTAGCTCCCTCATCACCTCCTTCCACGGTTGCCTCCAGGACTTCGCCAGAGCCTCTCCCATCCTCTGGAACTCCCTACCACAGCATGTCCGGTCAGCCCCCACCCTGTCTACCTTTAGGCAACCTTTGAAAACTCAATTCTTCAGGGAAGCCTACCTCACCTCCACCTAAGAACTGTACTTGAATCACCTCTGCCAGATCATCCCCCGCAGTTATCACCTTTTGTTATCACCTCCCCCTTCCTTTAGATTGTAAGCTCCACGAGCAGGGCCCTCCTATTCCTTCTGTACTGAAATGTATTGTAATTGTACTGTCTCCCTTATATTGTAAAGCACTGCGCAAACTGTTGGCGCTATATAAATCCTGTATAATAATAATGATACTCACAGCATCCAAAAACCAGCTGTAGGCAGAACAATGACCAATGAGTTATAACTAGCTACTATGGGTTAATGCATTCTATAAATGACTGATGTATAAACTAAATAACTTTATTTCAATCCCCTCATGTTTTGCATTGTATTGGTATTGTTCTGTCCCCCTTTGTAATGTACAGCGCTGAGCGAACTATTGGCGCTTTATAAATACTGCATAATAATAATAATAATTTCCACGGTTCCGGATTCTGTAAACATTTCTTGTAACAATACTGGTTTAAAGTAAAGGATGCCAATAACATTCTAAGCTGGTGTTTGCAAATATTTTAAAAAAGCAGACACTTTGGGGTTGATTTATACAGGCCATACATGGGTTGAATTCCAAACAAATTTTCTTTAGAAAATAACAAACTTCATGTGTTTTGTAATCTGATGGTGCCACCACTGATTTCCAAATTTGACCAACCAAGCCTTTTATTTCACCTCGTGTTGCTACAGAAAAGAATTTTCATGGCCAAGAATTTTCTTTTCTTTCCAGGTCATGCTCATTTCTTTTTCAATTACATTTCTCGCACGATTCTCCCATCATTGATTAGAAGTTTGTTCATTTTTTTTAAAAATTTTCAAGATGCCCGATCACTCAAATTTGATGGTCGCTCGAAAATCGGCCGTTGCTTTAGCCCACCAATAGTGCAAAATTTGAACAAAAATTCTTAGAAAAGATTTTCATTTGAAAATGCTTTCTGAATTCGACGCATGTATGGCCAGTTTACTGAAACTTGACAGTGCAAAATCTGGTGCAGGTGTGCATGGTAGCCAATCAGCTTCTAACTTCAGCTTGTTCAATTAGGCTGGCCATATACTATACAATTTTCTTACAATTTTCTGCCCAATTTCCTTTAGATTTACCCTCAACTATGTAGTGCAAGGGCCTGCTTAATTGGATACAATTGAAAGTGTTTGGGTTTGACCTCCTATTATATGGTTTTTGGTAAATCTAAACCAAAAATCTCAAGACAATTGCATAATGTATGGCCAATTTACCTTGCTGTCCAATTTACCTTTAACTATGTAATGTCCAATTTACCTTTAACAATGTAATGTCCAATTTACCTTTAACTATGTATGTAGTGCAAGGGCCTGCCTAATTGGATACAATTGAAAGTGTTGTTTAGGTTTGACCTCCTATTATATGGTTTTTGCTAAATTTAAACCAAAATTCCCAAGAAAACTGTATAGTGTATGGCCAGCCTTAGGCTGGCCATACATTATACAATTCTCTTGAGAATTTTGCTTGAGATTCACCAAAAACCATAAAATATGAGATAAAACCTAAACAACACTTTCAATTGTATCCAATTAGGCAAGCTCTTGCATTACATAGTTTAAGGTAAATCTAAAGGAAATTGGGCAGAAATTGGACAGAAAATTGTATAGTGTATGGTCAGCCTTAGGCTTTGTAAAAAAAAAAAAACCTGGAAGCTAATACAGAGCTGCACCAGATTTTTAACTCTCCAATTTTATAAAATCAATCCCATAATGTAAAGGATACAAAGGTACCATATTTAATATTGTTTATACACATACATAATAAAATACGCAACAAAATTACAAAAAAAGAATACGTCATGGTGTCTATTACTGTTCAGAGCTGGTGGTCTCCTCCAGCCCTCATAGGCAATGTTATGTACAGGGCAGAGCTCACGCCTGCAGCATCAAGCACAGTAAAGGTCCTGTCCTGGAAATAGCACTGCTTGAACACTCAGGCAGTGGTAGCTCCAGAGATGGACAGAGTTGTCTTTACAGGTCTTTTTTTTCTGACATTTTTAGGGTTTAAATGTATAAACTGGGGAAGATACATACTCCCCAGTTTATACATATAAACCCTAAAAAAAATATGCAAGTGCATATTGTTCCAAGATAAAAAAAGATACATTACCTACAAATCAAAAAATAGCTGGGAAATGCCTCACCTATTGGTCTTGCCTGAAACATAGATTGCTTTAAACAAAAAAGTCTTTTCCTTTAAATGAGCTTTGTAATGAAGACAGAAATAGCTTACTGAGTTTCTATCACAGATTTGTGCTGTCAGCAATGGCCTTAATCAATTGCTCATCTTGTCTATCTCAGGGAAAGGTGACTGCCAGTGACAGCTATGGCCTGCTGTCATCAGGCTGTCACTACACCATTTATGATCATAAAATATTGCATAATTTAAAGTGAGTGATGAGACTGGGTAGCACACAACTATGATTTATGTTAGGCTGCAGCAGTGAAGGTGTTACACATCATCTGCAACAAGATCCGTCCTGGTATGCCTTCAATTAATAGAAAAGCCAACAAGGGCTTGGCTTCCGCAGCAGGCCTCAGTGCTTGGTTAAGTTTGTAAAGCGACTCCTTGATTTTTATCTCTGCTCGATTCACTTGGCTGAGATCCTACAACTGATACACCTAATTGTTGTGGTAATGCACAAAGTGTGTTCCCTTCCCATTCCCCCCTCTCCCTTAGAAAACTTTTTTTTGTTCTTCTCTGAGCTGTTTATGTAAACTTGGAATCATGGAATGCAGCTTGGAAACAAAGAAATGCACAGAGGAATATGTAAGACCAGATGCCTTGCCTGTAATTTTATGGAGATCTGTTTGCACCTATTTTAGTGGCAGGGAAAAGGAATACAGCTGTGAATTACACAATTAACCTTATTAAATAAACATTCCCAAAGTTTTAAAGTGATCTTAACAGGCTGCTAACTCTTTGTAACAAGGCATACAGCAGCATTTTCTGGACTTTTGCAAATTTGGGTCTTGTTATGCCAACCCTCAATTCGCTAGTCATACACCATTGCTAAGCTGTCAGTTAGCTCTCAGGAAACACTATCACGCAGGAGGCGTATCCCTGAATAGAATTCAGAATTTAGTAATGGCTCACACTGGTTTGAAAGACGTTATGGAATCCCATTGAATGTTTTACAGCAACATAAATATAAGCGTGTATTTGTGCTAGGATGTTATATTTGAATTTTTAGTTTATGGAGCATTTTATCAGAATGGACATCAAATTGCTTAGGGGAAAACAGCAATGTCCATCTCTTCCTAAATCTCATAATGGTCCAGGAACTACTGAAGTAAACTGGGGAGGGGTGGATTTACAACTTTCAAAGCATTGAAAAGGAAATTGTGAAGCTGTTACAGCTGAATTTTAATCTGCTTATGTTTTGCCTTCCCTAATTCCCCCCCCCCCCCCACACACACACACACACCTTTCCAACCATCATCAACATCTAATGGAATTTTTAAATAAAAAGTTTTAAGTGCACACCCAGTGATATTGTCAGGAAGTCTCTTTGGTTTTTTATGCAATGCAGGCAGGTTAGGGCTGGCGGCAAAGACCATTGTGCTAGCTTCCTGAAAACAAGACGCTGGGGTAGTGCCCACATATGATGCGGAGTCTTCATGAATGAAGGAAGTGAAGTCCAATAAAAAAAAATGACAGGCAAGGTACAGTAAGACTAGGGAGAAAAGGCATTTATGCTGAACGTTCTCCAATCAGAAGTGAGGTGGGCTCTATTGGACTTCCTGCAGCTTTTCAAGCACACTGGGAGAAGCTCACAGCATGCAGTGAAATCAGAATAAGTTATTTTAAGAAAGGAGAGGAGCCTGTACAACTGTGCAAGATGGAGGTCAAGGCCAATGTTTAGCTATAATGGTCATAGGATTGCAAAGGCTGACAAAGGGTCAATGTCCTAAAGTGTGTCACAAATAATTGGCAACAAATTACATAAATTAAGTCTGAGATTATCATCTGTCCTTAGTATTGGAAAAAAATACTCATATCAGAGGCTGACAGCAGTAAACATATGCTCCAAAAAAGTAAGGAAGGTTTTGCTCTATTCAGTGACACCGATAAAGCCATCCTTACCCTGGTGGTATAAGCCGCCTCGGGATCATCCTCTAAGACCCGAGACATGCCAAAGTCAGACACTTTGCAGACCAGGTTGCTGTTGACCAGAATGTTGCGGGCAGCCAGGTCTCGGTGTACATAACTCATATCAGACAAATACTTCATTCCAGATCCGATGCCCCGCAGCATCCCAACCAGCTGGATGACAGTGAACCTTCCATCGTTCTTCTAAAACAAAAAGATAGTAATCAGTTATGTCACACCATGGCTCCCAACTGTCCCTCTTTTGGAACCAATCCCTTTGTCTTTTTTTCCTCAACTGTTCCCCCAACTGGGTCTGATGAATATTCCGCTATAAATTAATATACTGTTTGTCATATTACACTAAACCTTTCAAACAACCTTCAAATAAATGCATTTTTTATGCAAAATTAAGCACATGTGGGTTTAACTGAGCAAATAAATTCTTCATTATATCCATAACCAGTGATAGGACTATGTCCCTACTTTACATACTTTTTGTTAAAAAATGTCTTTCCCTTCTCAGAAGGGCATATCATACAGTATAACAACAGGACAGAACTTAGAGTTAGAATACCTTTTTACTGGATTGAATGTTACTTTTAGAATTATGGTCATTTGAGATAATGTCAATGAATATAATTAGATTGTGCTTTAGCGCATATATAAAACAATTACTTTTTAGCTCAATATGTTGTCTTCAAACTAAATTTCTTTTTAATCATTTGTAAAGTTAGATTGAAAGGAAGTGATTTTCGGAAAATCCAAGTTAAGAGACAAAGTTTCGATGGGTGGCAAGCTGCCACATTATGAGAACACATTTGATTCCAATGTAGGCCTGCAAGCATGAATCATAATCATTGTTTCTTTTAGTGATATGTAATATTTATTTCATATGTTTTACACACAGTATTGGGAGCTGTCCAGGCAAAAAAGATCTGAGATCATTGGAAAGAAATGTAGCAGGGGGATGCATAACTGAATGCCTAAACACCCTCTACATCTATAGGAAACCTTTATGCAGCAGAGTTTTTAAATCTTTACTCTCCAGAAAGTGGGGTATTGCTATTGTTACATACACTATATTGCCATGAGTATTTGGAACGCCTGAATCCAATGATTTGGAGGGGTGTCCAATCACCTCCATGGCCACAGGTGTATAAAATCAAGCACATAGGCATGCAGACTACTTCTATAAACATTTGTGGAGAATGGATCACTCTCAGGAACTCAGTGAATTCAAGCACGGTACCATGATAGGTTGCCACCTGTGCAATAAGTCTATCTGTGAAATGTCCAATAAGTCCATCTGTGAAATGTCCTTGCTACTAAATATTCCACGTCAACTGTTAATTGTATTATAACAAAGAGGAAGCAATGGGAACAACAGCAACTTAACCACGAAGTGGTAGGCCACATAAAATGACAGAGCGGGGTCACCACATGCTGAAGCACACAGTGAGCAGAAGTCGCCAACTGTCTGCAGAGTCAATAGCTAAAGACCTTCAAACTTCATGTGGCCTTCAGATTAGCACAACAACAGTGCATAGAGAGCTTCATGGAATGGGTTTTCATGGCCGAGAAGCTGCATTCAAGCCTTAGATCACCAAGTGCAATGCAAACGTCGGATGTAGTGGTGTAAAGCACGACTCCACTGGACTTTAAAGCAGTGGAGACGTGTTCTCTGGAGTGACGAATCATGCCTCTGTCTGGTAATCCAATGGACGTGTCTGGGTTTGGCGGTTGCCAGGAGAACAGCACTTGCCTGACTGCATTGTGCCAAGTGTAAAGTTTGGTGTGGGGCTTTTCTTCAGGAGGTGGGCTTGGCCCCTTAGTTCCAATGAAGGGAACTCTTAAGGTGCCAGCATACCAAGACATTTTGGACAATTCCATGCTCCCAACTTTGTGGGAGCAGTTTGGGGATGGCCCCTTCCTGTTCCAACATGACTGCACACCAGTGCACAAAGCAAGGTCCATAAAGACATGGATGAGTGAGTTTGAGGTGGAGGAACTTGACTGGCCTGCACAGAGTCCTGACCTCAACCAAACAGAACACCTTTCGGATGAATTAGAGTGGAGACTGCGAGCCAGGCCTTCTCGTTCAACATCAGTGCCTGACCTCACAAATGCACTTCTGGAAGAATGGTCAAACTCTCCCATAGACACACTCCTAAACCTTGTGGACAGCCTTCCCAGAAGAGTTGAAGCTGTTATAGCTGCAAAGGGTGGACCAACTCAATATTGAACCTTATGGACTAAGACTGGGGTGCCATTAAAGTTCATGTGCGTGTAAAGGCAGGTGTCCCAATACTTTTGGCAATATAGTGTACCTTGCAAGCACTTGTGGGTATATAAAACAATTTCCCCCTCAATAAAGTTGTTTTGCTGTTGTTAATTGTTCGTTGACCTGGAATAAGAGTTGGCTTCCAAAAGGTATTTTTATGCAGGTTAGCCTAGGTCAAGTTTGGGCAGATTGTAGCACACAGGGATACATATCCATAATTATGTTTTTTTTTTTTGTTGTTTTTTTTAGACAGTACCATATAAACTGTGCATTTGTAACATTAAACCAGATGCAGATAGATAAAGTAAGCCTGGTAGGAGTAATGCCTGGATACACACGGGGAGTTTTTTTTTTTTTATTATTCAACTCAACCCAGCGGGCTAAATGAAAAATAAAACTGAGAGGTCTCCGTAATAACTAGGCGATGTTAGTGTGGTGATCTCCCCCACTGTGATATTGTGTTCTGACACAGGGACTACCCCCCACCAGAACACACTGATCAGCGCTTACAGCCGTTGGCTGCAAGTGCTGATCAGAAGCTGGTTTTCCAGCATGCCAAATGTTGTCCGGTTTCTGTTGAACCAAATGATACTCGGCCCGTGCCATTACTTCTCATTCAAGGGCCGGCATCCAGAAGAGAGGGGGGGGGGGGGGTTGATTCAGCTCTAGTGATTTAATAATGTTATTTTACTAGAGTAGAGACCAGGTTGCGCACAGGAATTAAATTATTCAGGGCATCAGGTCCCAGTCTGCACATTAGAATTTTTCAGGTACTAGAAAATGAAAATATAATACCCTTTTCTATTAAACTTGAGTTTACATCAAATTAACATAAAAAAAGCTGGAAATCTCAATAACTCACCCTCAGAAAAGCATCCAAGGAGCCGTTCTCCATGTATTCAGTAATGATCATAACCGGTTTACCTATGAATAAGAATGACACTATTAATGACCTATAATGTATAGCTCAAGCCAACCAATGAATGCTCCACTTTCGCAAATATTTCCATGAGACTGAGCTCTGAAATGTTATCCCTAAACTGGACTGTCCTCCCTTTATATGGCAAGAATTACCCTTTCATTGTAATTCCGACCTGGCATGTGAAACATGAATCTCCGGACTAATTCATAGCGGGTGTCTGTTTCTTTGCATAATTACCATCTAAATGTATATGGAAATGTAAGCACTTTTCTGTCTCAAAGACCTATTTTTCATGCAACACACATTTTTTTTTTCTTTCTTCTCTCTTACTGCTACTCAAGCGGCAGCATATTTTAATGTGGTGCATGCAAGGCTTTATTCAGATTTTATGGTTTCATAAGTCACAGAAATGATAATAAGACACTGCTGGAATCTAAATCAGGAGCTTGGAGTGTACTGTAGAGAATAGAGAGGAGAAGCATTTTACTGCTGGCACTTTTTACACCTCACAATGGCACTAAACATGGCTAGAGCACCCGTGAAATGTGTCCCCCACCTGCAAAGTGTTGCCTTACTGCCACAGCCAAACAGACTTCATAAGGTGTAAGGGAACGCCGAAAATTTTCAAGCAGATGGGAGTTGTAAAAAAAAGAGAAAAAAAAGCCTGTCCTCTAAGCTGCTTCAAGATCTGAAAAGCATGGTCTCTCATAAAACTGCTATTTAGGAGAAAATGAACAAAAAGGTAAAAATAGCTTATAGTAAAATTATAACAAATGTGCTCTTCTACAGGATTCTGCCTCAAACAGATGACTACAAATGTGTTTTAATGAATCTCACTGCTACCAAGATTAGACTTCCAATGCCCCTGCTGAATTCTGCATTAAAGCAACGTGTGCCAGGGAAGGTCAATCTACCAGCCATGTTTTCCAACTTTTGTGTATATTGAGGTGTGATGGCCATCTGCTTCATGCCTATACTGTAGCAATTAGCTCATTTTAGCTGTACGTCCTACTGCATTCTGATCTCACAAAGTCCTGCAGTCCTGTTGCCTAGGGAAAGGATATCAGTGAAAATCAAAAAAGCCATTTTATCTGACATTGAGATGGATGGCTTGCTCCACACCTTACACCCTGTGCTTTAGGATATACTGTAGCTATCCCATCTGTCATTTCACACCGAGATTTTGTGCTTGTGACGATGTGATCTATAGTAGAGCTGAATATACGAGAAAATTGTAGGAGGATCCACAAAACAAACGTCTTTTAGTAACTTGGAAGATTGTTGCACAAGGCAGTTCTTAGGTAATAAATCATTTTTTTTCTTGCAATACTGAGAGAATGACACAAATGAACAGCCATGTGACATGTCTATATTGACTGGCTATGTGTTCTACATTGTTTAGCAAAGATTATAGGCAGGGTACATTTGACTGATGGCTTGTGCTGTAATAATGTACAGCATCGTGAGGATTTTATATGGAATTTATTATAGATGCATTTATTCAACAGGGGGAATCAACTTACATTTGGTCACTACACCTTCAAGATGAATGATGTTGGGGTGATCAAACTGTCCCATGATGCTGGCCTCGCTGAGGAAGTCCCGTCTCTGTTTATCAGTGTAACCAGCTTTCAAGGTCTTGATAGCTACATAAATTTCTCTTTTACCAGGAACCTTCAGGCGCCCACTGCACACCTCGCCAAACTCTCCTGAAAACAGTGAAAATGGGTTATAGTTTCTGAAATCTGGGCCAGACAGTTTTACTGGTAATGCACTGAATGCTAACTGTCTTTGGGCTCTCTTACTTACCTACGCCAATGACTTTCTCAATCTTTATACAAGAAGCATCAATCTCTTTTGCAAATTCACGGACGGCTTGGTTAGGGTCTTCATATGTAAATGGATCAACATATGTCTTTACCCCTGTAGTTAAAAAAAAAAATGTAATCTAAGACAGAAAACACTGAACAGCATCCTTGACAAAACAAAGGGAGAAAATAATAGTATGAACAATGTGGTGGACACTACACCCTATATGCCTAGGATGGGCTTGACCTGTAATATGTCCTTGTCACTCCTATACAATGGAGACCACCATATTGTAGGCTGGAACAATATTTCACCGGATGACTAGGAATGAAAGATACCTGTAGCATAATGCATCTTTTCATGCATGTCCAGACAGGCCACTAGCTGCTAGAGAATGGACAGGCTAAATATTTATTCATTTCTCCGAAAACTCTTCAATCCCTGTGCACGGGTGACAAACAGCATTGTATGAGGCACCTTGTCATGCATGTCCAGGAAGGTCACTTGTTTCTAGAGAATGGACAGGCTGAATATTTATTAATTCCTTCCAAAACTCTACATTCCCTGTGCATGGGTGATGGGCAACATTGTATAAGGCATCTTCTCATGCATGTCCAGGGAGGTCACTAGCCTCTAAAGAATAGATGGGATGAGTATTAATTCATTCCCACAAAAAAAGAAAAAAACACTAATTGTGCATGAGTGATGAGTACACTTGAAATGATTCACAGGTAAATGCAAACACTATAACAATTTTTTACTAGCCGAATTGTTTACACACTAATCAGAGCTACTCATTACAAAAATCATTACCTTGGTTTAAATGCTTCTCCTCATCAGCTTCTTGTTTTGCTTTGCTGTACTTACTCCGCCTGTAGAGATAAAAAAGCAGTCCTTCAGGATACAAGTAAATACCATCACAGAGACAAAATTCCGCAGCACATTATGCAAATGCCAAGCCAGGATATAGAAGTAAAGGAGCCCTTCCAATACAATGGGAGCTTGAAGCTGGCAGATGCCTTACCAGCCTCATAAAGCAGAACAAATTTATCGATGGTACTTTTTTCCAACTAAAAGAATTGCCTATATAAAAAAACATAGCGGGAAAACTGTCAGTTGCTCTTAGAAACTGTACAGGTTTCCCATTTTTTTAATACCATTGTATATAAAAGTCTTTAGGCACATGACTGATAATCTTTATAATGCACTGACAAAGCGATTACTGAAATATTTAGCTATGTATGATGCTAAAATTATAAACACACCACATTTCACAAAACATACATAACTACCATAATAATTATTCATTATATAAATTACCACCCTTCCAAACAAGAAATTTCCTTTACAAAGCAAAGATTATTGTAGGAAACTAGAGATAAAAAAGGTACAATACGCAATGGACAATATAAAACAATTGTATTCCATGCGGCTATATGCCAATAGCAACAGGTGAATGTCCTCTGGTCACCTGACCATCCATTACACCAAGTGAATTTGAAGAAAACCTTTAACCACTTCCCGAACGGCCGTTGTATATAAACGGCCGGACGGTGGCACTTGCAGGGTCGGGTGGCCGTTTATAAATGGCCTCCCCGCCCCCTGCTTGTGCGTGCTCCCTGGGAGCGCGCAGCACCACGATCCGGTGCCTGCTGTGTCCTCCGGACACAGTGGAACACCAATCGCCATACGGGACCTCTGTGCGAGGTCGCGATCATGTGATCACTGATTGGCCAATCAGTGATCACATGCAAAGTAGTAAGCAAGATGTCACTTCTGACATCATTGCTTACTACGTGTGAAATCTGTGAATGATCACAGAGGTCACATGGTACAAGGCTATTCACAACAGCCTTGTACCATGTGACAAGCTGTGACCAATCACAGCTCACTCAGTAGTTATCAATGGCTGCAAGAATGCAGAGAGAAAGAGAAATGATTGCTTTTAATCCTATATGGGTGTAAAAGCAATCAGTGTAAAAAAAAAAAAATCTTCATCACCCCCCAAAAGTAGTACAGTGTCACCATGGTGACACTGTACTGCTAGGGTGACAGTATGTAAAAAAATAACTAAATAAAATAATAATATATAAAAAAAAAATAAATAAATAAAAATGTAAAAAAAAATGTTTAAAAATTATAATTTTTGGTTATAAACTAATTTGGCTTATTTTTTGTTTTACTAAAAAGATAACGAAATAAATTTTGGCCAAGATTTATGATGAAATATTATTTATTTGCAAAAGTTTATAAGAAAAACACTTTTTTTCAAAATTTTTGGACATTTTCATTTACATAGCAAAAAAAATAAAAATCCCAGCGGTGAATAAATACCACCAAAATAAAGTTTTATCTGTCTCAAAAAAATGGTAAAAAATTCATATGGGTACAGTGTTGCATGACCGCGCAATTGTCAAAGTGTGATAGCGCGGAAAGCTGAAAATTGCCCTGGTCAGGAAGGGGGTAAAAGTGTCCGGACTGGAAGTGGTTAATGATCTATTCCAAGCCACACAGGTTCAGTGGGAAAGTTTTTTTTGTTTAAATCTGCCACTCAGGAATGTTTCAAACTCTTCTGACATCAAAATTTACATAATGTGTTTAAGTGGAATTAGGTGAATAGAAAAAAGCCTTGAGAACAATGTGTAATTATATTGTATCAGTAAAGGCTTTGTCCAAATGTCACAAGATTTCTGATAATACGGGAATTGCAGACTCTGTAATGATGGCTTGGCCATACAACCTTTTGACCTTTTTTAGCCTGCATGCAGCCTTGGACATTGCTTACTGACATTGTCCATAGCACCTGGACAAGCCATAGGAAGATGTAACAGTTGAGTGTCCTTGCAATTAACAGGGTCATTTTGGAGAGGGTTTATCAGCTGAAAGATCATGTGAGAAACAACAACAAGTAACGGCATCACCTGCTTGGAGTTTGCATGTTCTCCCTGTGCCTGCGTGGGTTTCCTCTGGGTACTCTGGTTTCCTCCCACATTCCAAAGACATGCTGGTAGGCTAATTGGCTCCTGTCTAAATTGTCCCTAATATGTGTATGTATGAATGTGAGTTAGGGACCTTAGATTGTACACCCCTTGAGGGTTAGGGATGGTTGGAATATACAATATAAAATATATATATATATATATATATATATACACATATATATATATATGTAAAGCGCTGCGTAAATTGACGGTGCTATATAAGTACCCTGAAATAAATAAATAAAGTCAATTTGGACAACCCTGGGTTCCCGAATAAAATTCTGATGGCAAGGCATGGTGGGATTTAAAGTCTTAGCTGTGACAAAAATGCTTTTTGGCAAAATATGTACACTATTTTCAACATAGGATGATACAGGTAAGGTTATACAAGAGTTAATACTTCCCACATGATTTTCCTGTATACAAACGGCTGGTATGTGCATGCATTGTGAGATCTCCCCCATACGTCATATGTGTACACAATGGAATAAGGTGTGCCTATCCACCAGGCTTGCTTTGATCAGCCCTTGTGTGACCTTAAATGATGGATACGGCACCATGAGAACGAAAACAGTCATACATTAGGGGCATAAACCCTCAGGATAGTGTCAAGTCAATAAACAGGCAGCAGCCAATAAACGTTCAATGGGACTTAAGGCCCAGCTCTGTCCTCTCTATTATCATGGTGTGTTTATAAGCTGGAGAAGCCCATGCTCATGAGCTTGTTGCAGTATATGAGGCATGTGGTAAAGTTCATTAAAAATTAAATGAAGCCTTGATACCCATTTTGCATCAGGTCTACTGAAGTCTGATTTGTCCAACAGCATACAGGGAATACAAAATGGCATTAGCACCAAAAAAAATATACAGTCAGGTCCATAAATATTGGGACATCGACACAATTCTAACATTTTTGGCTCTATACACCACCACAATGGATTTGAAATGAAACTAACAAGATGTGCTTTAACTGCAGACTGGCAGCTTTAATTTGAGGGTATTTACATCCAAATCAGGTGAACGGTGTAGGAATTACAACAGTTTGCATATGTGCCTCCCACTTGTTAAGGAACCAAAAGTAATGGGACAGAATAATAATCATAAATCAAACTTTCATTTTAATACTTGGTTGCAAATCCTTTGCAGTCAATTACAGCCTGAAGTCTGGAACGCATAGACATCACCAGACGCTGGGTTTTATCCCTGGGGATGCTCTGCCAGGCCTCTACTGCAACTATCTTCTGTTCCTGCTTGTTCTTGGGGCATTTTCCCTTCAGTTTTGTCTTCAGCAAGTGAAATGCATGCTCAATCGGATTTAGGTCAGGTGATTGACTTGGCCATTGCATAACATTCCACTTCTTTCCCTTAAAAAAACTCTTTGGTTGCTTTTGCAGTACGCTTTGGGTCATTGTCCATCTGCACTGTGAAGCGGCGTCCAATGAGTTCTGGCTGAAGCATTTGGCTGAATATGAGCAGATAATATTGCTCGAAAAAACACTTCAGAATTCATCCTGCTGCTTTTGTCAGCAGTCACATCATCAATAAATACAAGAGAACCAGTTCCATTGGCAGCCATACATGCCCACGCCATGACACTACCACCACCATGCTTCACTGATGAGGTGGTGTTGCTTAGGATCATGAGCAGTTCCTTTCCTTCTCCATACTCTTCTCTTCCCATCACTCTGGTACAAGTTGATCTTGGTCTCATCTGTCCATAGGATGTTGTTCCAGAACTGTGAAGGCTTTTTTAGATGTCGTTTGGGCAAACTCTAATCTGGCCTTCCTGTTTTTGAGGCTCACCAATGGTTTACATCTTGTGGTGAACCCTTTGTATTCACTCTGGTGAAGTCTTCTCTTGATTGTTGACTTTGAAACACATACACCTACCTCCTGGAGAGTGTTCTTGATCTGGCCAACTGTTGTGAAGGGTGTTTTCTTCACCAGGGAAAGAATTCTTCGGTCATCCACCACAGTTGTTTTCCGTGGTCTTCCAGGTATTTTGGTGTTGCTGAGCTCACCGGTGCGTTCCTTCTTTTTAAGAAGGCTCCAAACAGTTGTTTTGGCCACGCCTAATGTTTTTTCTATCTCTCGGATGGGTTTGTTTTGTTTTTTCAGCCTAATGAAGGCTTGCTTCACTGATAGTGACAGCTCTTTGGATCTCATCTTGAGAGTTGACAGCAACAGATTCCAAATGCAAATAGCACACTTGAAATGAACTCTGGACTTTTATCTGCTCATTGTAATTGGGATAATGAGGGAAAAAAACACACACCTGGCCATGGAACAGCTGAGAAGCCAATTGTTCCATTACTTTTGACCCCTTAACAAGTGGGAGGCACATATGCAAACTGTTGTAATTCTTACATCATTCACCTGATTTGGATGTAAATACCCTCAAATTAAAGCTGACAGTCTGCAGTTAAAGCACATCTTGTTCGTTTCATTTCAAATCCATTGTGGTGGTGTATAGAGCCAAAAATGTTAGAATTGTGTCGATGTCCCAATATTTATGGACCTGACTGTATACACACACCAAAACTGGGTAAAAAGTATTCAACTGTTTCAACTTACAAGACATATACAGGTCCCCATATTGTAACATAGCATGACAGCAGTATCCGGTATGCAGTTACTCATAATGCAGTATACCCTTCTACTTTTATAATAGATTAGATTATGGATTATAATAGATCCAGTATTCCGAGAGTTAAAGAAAAAAAATATAAGGCAAGAGGCAGACTGACTCATTTCCACCCCTCAATGACAGTTTGCTTGGTGGAAACTGATTCCAAAAAAACAGCTTTAAGAAATCAGCATTAGAATTAAAAGAGAATGAAGCCATGTACAGGGGCGCCAAGCTGCTATGAAACGAAAGAGACACCATCTGCCTTACTCTCTGTCAGCCGATTACATAACCTCATTAAAGTGCTCAGGAATAAATGTTCGGAACTGTCCAGCTGGGCAATGACACGGTGATAGCAACTGGAAACTTGTTCCTGGAGATGTCACAGTCCAGAAATGCCTCTAGAATCTGCCAGGGCCAATAGATCAACCATTTTAAACTAATGTCAGCCAGGAGAAAGCTGCAATACCCAGTATTAACAAAGGTAAAACAACAACAGCAACCTGGGAAGGGAATAAAGCATTAAGGCTTAACCCATACATGCACATTTTCACTGTGCTCTAAATACTAGCTCACACATGGATGTGGGTCAGGGGGTAAGCAATATGGGCAATTATGATCTATTAGTACTAAGCAATGTCATCTACATGACTGCAAACACCTCATTAGGCTATAGCTACACAGGAGATTTTTTTGTAACTCTTCTATTAAAAACACCCAGTAAATAATAACTAGCAGTACCAACTGATCGCTAAGCAGATTGAACAAATGGCTACTTATTGAATAAGCTATGCAAATAACACGTAGTAGTGATAATTCTTGAATGACCTTACAATGCTCCAATCAAGATACAACCCCAATTCCAAAAAAGTTGAGATGCTGTGTAAAGTCTACATAAAAACAGAATGCAATGATTTGCAGCATAAATCCATATATTTTATTATCCATAGAAACATATGAAATGTTTAAAAAATAAGGTAATTTTGAAATTGATGGCAGCAACGCGTCCCAAAAAAGTAGGGACAGGGTCATGTTTACCTACTACATGCTTCTAGTATAGCTTACTCCATAGGGATCCATTTGTCCCATCTGTGAAGCAATGATTTGCTCCTCCCACCAAATTTAGAAGCATGATTGAGCTACTCAAAATATCTCATGTAGCTCTAGCCTAATAAGGTGACTGCTAGCATGTAGTAAGGCAGGCCATAAACGGTGCAAATTTCTTTCCTGCAACCATGGGCAGGGAAAGCCATCCATGCTGGAGAAGACTGTGATTATTACTAGCGTCTATAGCAGTTGCTAGAGATAATCGCAAGTGAATACAGCAGGCTGGTTGTACCCAAGTTGATCGATCAACTTGGTTCATTCAGTCTGCTGAAGCAGGCAAGATTCAAACCACCTATGGCTGGCCTTACTCTTTTATTGGCAAGAGAATATAATGGTCCATGTAGCATAGCCCATAAATGACTTGATTTTCTTTCCTTCCGCCATGCGTGGAAGGAAAGAAAATCACTAGATTCCCGATCAATCAACACAATCAGCGTTGATGTGAGAATGCCTCCTGTAGTGCTATTGTTTTCTGTCGGTACAGAGGGTTGCAGAGCTTTTCCGTCCGGCAGAACCCAATCATTATTGTTATTGGCTATAGCCACCAGCGATAATCACATGCAAACAATCCCACAGGCTGGTTGAACCCATGGATCAACTTGGGTACAATTAGCCTGCCCATAGATGGACCAAATCTCAGCCGGTCCCTGCTGAAATGGCCAAATTTAGATCCATGTATGGCTGTCTTTAGTTGACATACTAAGAAAAAAGTGTGATTTACATTTTCCCTAACCCCTGCTTGATTTCTATGTAAAGTAAATGAACAGCTTTGCAGCAGACTGATCACTAGCACAAGTAGAATACTATTAATATCTCATTAACAACCCTGTAAAGATTTTACCAAGAATTCTTTCTCAAGCATACAAACATTCCTGTAACTCAAGACTTATTATTATGGCCAGGAATAGCCTCTTATGTTCTTGCATGAAGTAAAATGGATTCCACTTGTAGTAATGCAGTATCGCCAAGAAGCTTAAATTTAGCCAAAAAAAAGAACGCTCAAAGATTGGGCTGTATAAATTTTCTCATTCCGCCCTCATACAAGGTGCCACTTCTTCCTCGGTGTGTTAAGCAGAAGAGGAAAAAACCGTTTGAATTCACATTAGAGGCTATGCGGCTGTCAACTCCCTGCTTTCTGGCTCCGTTCCCACACAGACAGCTTTATAGTTGACACTAAAAAAGAATCAATGAAAGTCCAAGGGTCGATGTTTCATTTTTATCTAAAGTGATCCATTGAGGACCAATCACGGCTGGCCTACTATCGACCAGAGCACACCCCTCTTCTTTGTCATTAGTTAGGGATGGAAATGTGATAACAATACCCTGATACAATGATAAACCTGGTTACGATCAGTCAAGATTCACTTTTATAATAAAAAGTGGTCTGGGTCATGAGATGCTGTTCATGTATTCTAACAGCTTTTACTGTAGTGTTGTATGGAAAGGTGTCCATCCTACAAAGTGTCTGAAAGTCTCACCGATTGGAAACCAACCAGATTGTTCCTTTCGTCTTCTAACAAGAAGACAGCAATTCAGCAAAGGAAAAGAACATGTGAAAATCAAAAGTGTTTTAAAAGAAAGTAACTCTGTAGCCCATTGTCAATCAAAAGCATACCAGCTGTCATATATTCAATTCAGGTTGACTTAGACACCAAGACAAGTTTCACTACGAAACACTTTTGATAAGCGGTGCTTATTGTCGCCCGACTATTTGAACAAAGCTTCTAACAAACAGCATTGAGAAAAAAAAAGTCCCAGGAATTAGTGGAATTCATTTTCAATTTGAAACGGGGCTCCCGCTGCAGAAATCATGTTTAAATAGCAGGCTGTTTCTGCTGCCTACATGCTGGGGACATTAAAAAAGCTGGTAGGGGTTTATACTGTGAATGCTATGTTTAGATGCTAATCAGAAAACATGTCTTTGTTTTCAGGTCTGAACTCCTCCCATAGAGGAAGGTAATGGCAAAAGGGGGGTTTTCAGACAAAAGATAAACCAGGCATAGTTAGAATCCTAAAAATACCTCACATACTTTCTCAGATACTTCTGAAATAAAAGGATAAAACAATATTTTTATCAAAGCAAAAAAAAAGGATTCCAGTTCAACCTGATTAGCTGGTACACTGTCATATCATCACAATGGCAGCCATTGTGAACAATTGTTCTACTTTGTTTGCCATGTTTTGTGGTCTTTGTTCATCAATTTAGCACAGCGTTTAAATGAAATTAAATATACCGTCTTATTTAAAAGCCTTGTCCACCCAAAAATAATATGATATTTTTAGGTAGATGTGGGATAGTTAAACAACCTGACAGACTCTGAAATCTTTGACCTTGTGTTCCCAAGTCGGGCACCTGCTGTGGCCATTACGTACAATTAGTGACTTATAAAAACTAATTACAATCCTTATTCAACGATTTCACTCTAAAGTAATGAAAGTGATATCTGATTGGCTACTGTAAATTGAATTAACATAACTGCTACTTGCGCTGTATGATTAGATTAAGAACTACCTATTTTATTATAGCACTTACTGGGTTGATTTACTAAAACTGGAGGAGTGCAAAATGTGGTGCAGCTGTGTAAGGTAGCCAACCAGCTTCTAACTTCAGCTTGTTCAAATAAGCTTTGAAAAAACTGGAAGCTGATTTGTTTCTATGCAGAGCCGCACCAGATTTTGCACTCTCCAGTTTTAGTAAATCAGTGTATATCTATGTAACACAAAGGAGGTAGGCTGACTAAAAAAAAAAAAAAAAAAAAAAAAAGTATTTATACTTAAAAAGCAGAATAAAAATAAGAATATGACCACTGTGCTTTTGGCTTACAGTTTTCATGAATCTGCATATACTTTTGAGCAACTGAAGAGTGATTTAAATCTGCTCTATTAAAAAGCTGTACTGAACGATGGAAGCCACATACCTTCTGCTGATGACAAAGGCAGCAATGAGAATGACCACCAAGACGATGCTCCCTGCCACGGACACCAACAGCACCGTAGGACTGGCTCCTTCACCGATCATGGGGGACGGGACTAAAGAAGGAAAGTTATATTATCAACCAGACACACAAAAGATAAAATGTCTTTGAACTTGCAGTGGCTTCAGGCTCCATTGTTTTTTACCTCACTTTAAGACTACACATATATGTTACACAAGACTCATTGAACTCACCGGTATTGGTGGTGAACTCAAAAGGACCACTGAATTCTCCATATCCTGCTGCAGTCCGGGCACGAACATGGAAAACATAGGCAGTTAGCGGATTAAGACCTTTGATTTCGGCGCTGCGAGTGCCTGTCTTTACAATTCGATAGCTTCGCTCGTTTTGGTCCTGTGGTTAGTAAAAAATAGGAAAAAAAAGATGTCATCACAGCTATAAGATAGATGAAGATGAAAAAAAAAAAACAGCTGACATCATTTGCAACAAGTCCAACAAAAATGGCTAACAACGTCACCAGCTAGACTGATGCCAAGCGTTAGCTGCCAAGTCAAGTTTGACAGAATGAATACGAGATTTGATTATACATTACCTTTTCATAGTACTTGACTTCATACTCTAAGATGACGCCATTGGCACGGTCAGGTTCTGGCCAGGATAAGGACACGCTGTGTCTGGTGATCTCCTTTGGCTGAATCTGCGTTACAGTTGATGGAGCTGCAAAAGAAACATCATATACATGTTAAAATATATCCATGTTACACAATATTAGACAGTCATACTAATAATAGCCTAATAATTCAACAATCACGCATGACAAAAACAATGGGGGGATTTACTAAAACGGGAGTACTTAGAATCTAGTGCAGCTGTGCATGGTAGGAAATTGGCTTCTAACGTCAGCTTGTTCAGTTACACTTTGGCAATAAAACCCGGAAGCTGATTGGTTTCTACACAGATCTGAATCAGCCTTTGCACTCTCCTGTTTTAGTAAATAACCCCCAGTGTCTTGTAATGTAATAAAATGTAATAGAATGGTCAGTGGATAACGGTTAACTCAGAAAACTTCCTATATATATATATATATATATATATATATATATATATATATATATGAAAACCTATCTCTTCAGGGAAGCCTATCCTGCCCTCAGCTATTAATGGAATCTTCTACTCTTCCATCCAGTCCATCCCCCACAGTTACTACCTTTTGTACCACTAGCCCCTCCCTCCTAGATTGTAAGCTCCATGGAGCAGGGCCCTCCTTTCCCTCTTGTATTGAACTGTATTGTTGCTGTATTGTCTCCCGTTTATATTGTAAAGCGCTGAGCAAACTGTTGGCGCTATATAAATCCTATATAATAATAATAATAATAATATTAATAATATATCTGTGTGGAAGACCAACATTTTCTATGTCCAACAGGGAATCCAATGATATTTATGTATTTTTACCAATACAAAGCTAGAGCTCTGTATGTTACTGATTAGACCACCAGTCTAGATGAGTTACCAAATACTAACCCTTCTGTCAAATGCCAAGACTTGCCAAATTACCAGTCTGGGCCTGCTCATACAGTAGCTCCTGTTAGCTGCCCATAGCTCTAAAATATTTAAAAAGTAGCATATTTTTCATCAGCAAGCGTCTAAAGCCATTTACACAGACCAACGTCATTCTGTAACAACAACTCCTGCTTAACTTGCTCATTGCTGAAAATAGCCATGCTGATTTAATAGCGTAAGTTGGAAATTAAATCAATTAGAAACTATAGACCATTAACCGCCTACATTTTCAGGGTTCCTCCCTGAGTTCTTATGAAACAAAGGATGTGGTCATCACCTATTTAATTTGAACCTATATAATATATGACTTTAGAATACGAGGATCGCCCTCAATGTAAGATTTAGGTGACTTGTTTCTGGAAACTCAGCAAGTACAAATAAAGGCTGAAAAACTAGGCTAGGGACATGACACTAACACTGACTCATTACTAACAAAGTCTCCTGATTCAGCAACTAATCCTGACACCCAGGTGACTTCAGCACTAGGAGGGCTATACCGTGCTATTAAAGCAGGAAAAATATCCCAGGACTCACACAATGTAATGACAGGTTGTTGTGATGGAGCATTTTATAGTAATACTCTTCTCACGCAGTAAAGGATATACATACATTCAGTGCTACCCACAGTATCACAATAGGTCACTGCCCATGACCAATTAGCCTATTATGTGTGATGAACTAAAAGGAAGATAAAATGACTTGCTCAAGGATAGGTGGACATGGAAATAGGACTGGATTTAGCCAATTCATTCTTCTTGACTATTAATAGAATGGATTAATAACTTGGATGACGTACTGAACCGCACTTGTTTGCTGGCCTTTAATCTGATGACCTGTAATAATTATATTATATAAAATCAATATTACCTGAGCCATACAAAGGTAAATCATTGTGGATACAATAAATGATAGAAGAGTTCAGACATGTTGCAAAATCTTTTCAGCCAACTTGATTATGGCTACCAACAATCAAATCACTATGGCCTGTGTATGAAAGTATTTTAGCAGTACCCCAGCAGGGACCAACCAACATTTGACCCATGTATGGGCAGGCTGGGTGTACACAAGTCGATCTATTGGTGGACTTGTGTACAACCAGTCTTTTCAAGTTTTTGCCAATCAGTGACACCTGCAATAGCTGGCCACACTTAACATTGTATTCTAAAGGCATGGAAACGTAAATACAATATCTCAGCAGGAAGGATTCCTGCATTAAAAGTGTGGATGGGGGAATTAGCTCTTTTTTTATTTTCATTCAACCAGCAAAACAATGAAACATGTATGGCCAGCCTAAAAGACTTCCAAGACTACCAATACTAAGCCAAGTAGGGTCTCCTTAATGCAGAAGGCATCATACACATCTAAAGAACATGACAACTGGCTCTGGTACCCTGGATTCATAAAGACACTAAACAGGCTGAACTGCTGTAATACTGACAATCAGTGGCTGAATATCTCCTTGCCATGGGAAATCTGCCATACTGAAGTTTCTATCTGCCAAACCCAGCTCTGATGAAGAAGGGAGCACCCTTCGAAACGCATTAGACTTCATCCCCCCCCCCCTTTTATATTTACCTGTAACCCTGTTTGGATTATGGTTACTTATGCCTGTTATACAATCATTTTGTGAGTATATTTCCTTATTAATAAAATTAGTCATTATTTATTGAGGTAATGCGCAAGGTTTGTGCGCTCTTTCTTTCATCTTCCTCTACAGTTTCATAAAGTCTGCCATAGACTGCTCAAATCTCAGCTGGTTCAGCAAGGACAAGCTAAGATTTGAACCATGTATGGGCAGGCTGAATGTACCTAAATTGATTGATCGATCAACTCAAGTACAACCAGCCTGTCGGATTTTACACGCGATTATTGCTAGCAGCTATTATAGTAATCCCTATGTTCTCCCGATGCGGACAGCTCCCCCCCACCCTCCATCCCAGCCGGGAGAAATCAAGGGCGCTGCGGGAAGGATTCTCCAATAAACACCGACTGTGGTTGCAGGAAAGAAATTCACTCCATCTATGGCCGGCCTAAGGCCTACAATATATCTACACATTCACATACTCTTGAGTGTACTCCATTTTTAATTGTAAAGCAATCTGTTGCCAGGCAATTCCCATTTCAGCGGGTATATAAAACTCTCACCTTAATGGCTGCTATGTGTTATCTGACACCTGCAGAAAGGAAAATGTTAATTTCTGCTATCGAAATAGATTGTATCTTGTAAGTAATTTTACAGATAAGACTTCTAAGGTGAGAACAGGCCAAGCTGTTTGAAGAGTACTGCTTGTTGGTTTTATTGGAGCAATCTAGCAGGTATGCAGTCCGACCTGCAGTAAAGACTCAGAAGTCACAGGTTTGATGTGTTCATCAAAGCCCAGGGGTGAGGTGTCTCAGAGTGAGTAGATCCAGAACTGATGCTCACTTCCGCAGATCGGCCATTAAATACCTAGCACTAGTTTTACAAGTACCATCAACTTGCTTGATGACATACCCAGTGGCAGTGCAGAGCCAGCTACAAAGCCTTTCTACCCTCCTCCCAGGTGTTATAAAATGTGTTTCCTGAGCATGTATTGCAGTTAAGCAGAACAGGCCTGGGCCCAGGCCTCAGTCTTAAATGAAGACAAGAGATGCTGGGAAGGAAGTAAACAGCTGCAATTAAAGTTCCCCAGGCTCCAGGCAATTACAAGAGAAGCAGGTCTTTGTGCAGGAGCCTGTAACCTGACCTGGACCTGCAAAGTATACTGTGCCCAGTAAGTTCAGTCCAAACAACTTTCCAAAGGCTATCAGCAAATCTGAAATTCCCTGCATCACTCTGCTTGTGAACTGCAAACTTCTAAAACCTGTTCTGTTTGGCATTTATATAGCAGTCTCTATAGGTAAATGATAGTATATTCTAAAGCGGGCCATAGACGATTTTTTTACCTTTCAATATGAGTGGAACAAAAGAAAAATTGCTCCACTTCCCCAGTCAGCATTAATGGGGGAATGCCTTCCACTGAACTTTTGTGTTATGCCAGCAGGGAGCCCCCCCGCTGCAGAATGCAATGATCACCGCTAGCAGCTATAGTCGCCGACAGTAATAACATACAAAAAAATCCAACAGGTTGGTTGTACTGCAGTTGATCGATGGATCGACTTTAGTACAACCAGCCTACCCAGAGATGGATCAGATCTCGACCGGTTTAGCAGGGTCCAGCCTAGATCTGATCCACCTATAATTAGCTTTAGCAAAATTAACTTTAATGAGATATATAACAATTCAGCTTTGTTTGTTTTTAAATAATAAACATGTCATACTTACCTGCTTTGTGCAGTGGTTTTGGACAGAGCAGCTTCGATCCTCCTCTTCTCTGGCCCACCTGCAGGCTCCAGGCACCTCCCTCTTGCCTAGTACTACCATAGCAATAGCAAGCAGCTTGATATGGGGGCACCACTCCTGAATGGCTGCTCTGTATTCCCATTTACACACAGAGAGTGTCTTGGCTCGGCCTGGCCCCGCCTCTGCTCTCCTCTTTAGCTCACTGGCTGTGATTGACAGTAGTGGGAGCCAATGGCTACCACTGCTGTCTCAGCCAATGAGCAGGGAGAGACCCTGGAGAGCCAAGGCTCTCGTACACATTGCTGGATCGAGATGGGGCTCAAGTAAGTTTTCCGGTGGCTGGGGTTGCTGCTGCACACAGTAGGTTTTTTACCATCATGCATAGAAAGCATGAAGGTAAAAAACCTTGAGCTTTTACAACCACTGTAAAGCAATTCTAAGGTGACTTTTACATTTTACACCATGGATTTGCTTTTGTATAAAATACAGAGATTAGCCACAAGAGGGAAGTCTCAGTGGCTCAGTGAAACCCCTTTGGCTCATTGTTTTCAGTGAGCCATATTTGGATTATCTACTGTTTACTTTTTTGTTGTTCCATCCCACTTTAAACCAAACCGCCATACCCAACAGCTCTAAAGCAGACCCTCACCCTTTTGTACTTTCTATTATATTGCTCCCCCCCTCCTTTCCACAGATTTTGGTTTTTGCAAACACCCCCACCCGTGTTACTCCCATCACACCCCCCAAGAGGCATTGAGGCAGTCTACAACAGATATCAGGGAGCTGGCTAAAAGAACCTGGAAGAGACAGCCAGCTCCCAATGACGTCACAG